TTTAATATTTCTTTAAAAGTACTTCTTTTTTAAACCGTCGTTGCTAGTACTGCCGCGCTAAGGAAGAACGCCGTATGAGCCATAAGACGCTGCCATATTTACTTCAATAAAACCCTAATTTACAAGGAAAATCGTTAATATTTTTTTTTTCAATTTTTCCGACTATTTTGTTCGCAATTTCATCTAAAACGTCTAAAAATTTAAAAAAAAAATACGCACAATTTTCTCTAAAGATACATGTTTTATCCGGGGCAATTAGGCAACTCTCGAATTTTCATACGGCGTTCTTCCTTAGCACGGCAGAGTAGGGTTCTGTCCTCAATGGCCAAAATTTCAGTTATATTCCGGGATTCCTTACTACTAGCCACTCGTCCCGTGGAGAAAATCCCTTCGGAATTTCACCCAGATATGATTACGTTCAAGCTCCAACGAGCTGGGCAATTCAACAAGTGTCGTGAGTCGATTTCGCCGTCCCTTTCAGCATAACGAAGCGCGTTCCCTGACGGAACAATGAACCGAGGCCCCGGGCCCTGGGGCTGATGGTGCTCAAAGGGTTAACGCAGATGAGTCCAATTTGTTTCCCGCCATCTCACCCGCGACCACTCCGTCAAATGCCCATTGTTTTCAAAGCCCCCTTAACACCGCTCCCCGGTTTATCTCTCCGTTCTCCTTGGGTCCCGCTTTCGGGGGGATGGATTGTCCGGGTCAAGGGAACGGTTTCGGCCTTTATGGGGGACAAGAACCGCCTGGAAATAAATGCGGCTTTGAATGTGGTCGTCCATGGGACAATAGGTCGGGAAAGTTCTGACCATGTTAAAGATGATGGAGATGTATTCGATTCCATGCACTGAGAGTACTACCGAGTGGTCAATGAAAGTTATGAATTTTTTTCTGTTCCCAATGTTCATTCATTACCGCTTTCCAAAAAATAAAATCAATAACTTGCGCGGAATTTTCCGGAGTTTGTGAAATTAACAACTTAAGAGGAATTTTCGGGCGATTTCAAAAAAATTTCAGAAGCCTTAAAGAGTGCATTGGAAATCTTCTCGTTGCCATACATCGTCGCTTGGCTGACATAAGGGCGGAACTACACATTGCGATGAGCCTGGAAAAGCTTTGAAATTTATGGAAGACAGGGTTCTTAACAGAGTGTAGTTACGCCCTTCTGTCAGGTAGGCGACGACATCTACTCTTACATTCGACGTTTCGAAAAGTCTAATGGAAAAGGTAAAAAAAAACCTAAACGGTGTTAGAAAAAAAGCACAAAATCGCAAAAATTCGGTTTAAAACGTCATCCACCGCGGTAGTGACACCCTTGGATTCTTTCGCCTTGCTTTCATCCATAAGTTTCACGTTCAGTGACGAGTGCATGAAAGAACTTCATTCTTCAACATTCTTGAGTGACTGATGAAAGCAAGGTGGAAGAAACCAAGGAAGGGTCACTACCGCAGTGGATGCCGTTGTAAACCGAACTTTTCAAAGCGCGAAATCTCGGTGAATATTGAACGTAGAAAGTTGGTGCCTGGACTGATCTTATTACTTTTGGCTGATCTACAAGAATCAAGCATCGAAACACGATTCTGTGACCAGCGCAACACTGGAAACACATTGGATCTAGAGTCCAGACTCTTGAAAACATTGACAAGAAAAAATACTCATGATTCAATCCGATTCGAGCTTAAATCAAAAGGAAATCCGCTCAAATTAAGAGGCTTGGTTCTTGATCTAAGCAAAAATCCGATTGAATCAAGGGTATTTTTTCTTGTCGATGTTTTCTAGAGTCTGGACTCTAGATCCAGTGTGTTTTTTTCCATTAATTCCCTGATTTCCACGTCTATATTCTTGCGTTCCCTGATGAATGGAGAGTACCGGACACGGCGACTCTAAAGTTGTTTTTTGTCTGTGTTTCAGCTTTCCTTCTGATCGCTCTGGCTGTGAACGTAGCGATGGTGATGACCGGGCGAGCGATCGCCGGGTTCTGCGTGGGGATCGCCTCGCTGGCCCTGCCGGTCTACCTGGGCGAGACGGTGCTGCCGGAGGTGCGCGGGATGCTGGGTCTCCTGCCGACGACCCTGGGGAACATCGGGATCCTCCTGTGCTACGTGGCCGGCGCCTACCTCGACTGGTCCATGCTCGCCTTCGCCGGTGCCCTCATCCCGGTCCCCTTCCTCATCTGCATGTTCTTCATCCCCGAGACCCCTCGCTGGTACATCGGCAGAAGTAAGTCCGAATTTCACCTTTACGTTAGTCTAATGGAGATGTTGCATGTGTGAGGAATTTGCGATTTGACTGTTGATTCTTACGTAAAAGTTCGTGAGAAACACGATGGTGCTACTGGTTTTCTCTGAAATCAACTCCCAAGCTCAAAAAAAGCTCTCAAGTTGAGGCCAAAATGGCGGGAATATCCCACCCTACCCTGAGAGTCCACCTCTACATCAAGACAAACTCTCCATGCAATGATAGGGAGCAAATACATTAGCAGGGTTGCCGTGTTTTCAGTTTTCTCATAAAGTGGCAGCCCCGTCGATGTATTTGCTCCCTATCTTTGCATGGGGAGATTGTCTTGATGTAGGCGTGGGCTCTCAGGATAGGGTGGGATATCCCCTCCATTTTAGCCACAACTTGAGAGCTTGTTTTTAGCTTGGGAGTTGATTTCAGAGAAAACCAGTGGCGCCATCGTGTTTCTCGCAAACTTTTACGTAAGAATCAACAGTCAAATCGCAAATTCCTCACACATGCAACATCTCCATTGAGGGACTTGGAGGACAAGGCGCATGAGTGCAGTTTTTGAGAAAATTGAGATATTCATGTTTTCAAGTACAACTAGTCTCAATGCATGTTCAGTGAAAAATTCGCTCCCGAATTCCAATTTTTAAGCATTAAAAAGTCAGTTTGAACTTCCTCTCCGCCGTAAGGATCCATGCGATTTCGAAACTTCAAACACGTGATTCTCGAAATAGCAAAAACTTCACTTGTGCACCTTGTCCTCTAAGCCCCTCAATTGGACGAATTTCTGCCAAACGGAACTATGTGCGTTATGACGTGAGCCCTGCTATGCATATATCCTTATGGATCTCAGGTCTCATGTCTGAATGCACATGGTTCCGTTTGGCAGAAATACGTCCAATTGTAAGCTATTGCGGAGACTACCCGGGGACAATCATCACAGTACGGCTCTCTGACCCCCTCGATTTTCAGTATTTGTCACGGTTGAATTTCTTCATGGCTCATCCGTAAAAACACTTGTGTGCATACGGAAACTAATGGTACATACGTTCTTTTTAAACGAAGACAAAAATTATAGTTCCTAATTAAAGAATAGTCCAATTGGTAAAATCTGAGATTAGAACGGAAGATACAAACGGACTACATTTTGCACAACATTTTGTATTGTTCAACTTTACAGTGAAACTACACGGTTCAGAAACTGTTTGAATCTCTCAACACCACGTACCTAGTTGCTTTCAACTTGTTCTCACGATATGATTAAGAATAAGTTTGTAGGTCTGCATGACCGATATTTTCAATGACTGAAGATTGTGATAAATAAAGGTAAAAATAACGGAAACAATATGTCAATACTCAGACAAAAACCGAAAGGACTGATGGGACTATGCAAAATTTGAGACATAATATATTTCGGATTGAAAACTTTTAGGATTCCCGAATTCGCCTTATTATTGGTCGTATCAACACTGACAGTGCTGTTTTATGGATTACAGATAAACACAAGAAAGCAAGAAAAGCTCTGCAATGGCTGCGAGGCCAGAACGCCGATATCTCGGCTGAGTTCGACGAAATCGAGAAGACCAACGCTGAGAGTAACAAGAACGAGAAAACCGCCGGCTGCTCGGAGCTTTTCGCCAAAATGTACAGGAGGCCTCTCCTCATCTCCATCGGACTCATGTTCTTCCAGCAGATGAGCGGTATCAACGCCGTCATCTTCTACACCGTCAAAATCTTCAAGGTGAGTTCAAAATCACGATAAAACGCCTGCACGCGTCTGGCATGCTACTATTCCTGCTCTTAGGGCTGCCCTGGTTGCCTAGGAGAAAAATTAAGGCGCTTTAGATTTCCTTGCGCCCCGATTCGACATGATAGTAAACGTAGTGCTTCAAAAGATATGGTTTTATTTACTTAGGCAATAATTCATACGCTTCCGCGTTAAGAGGCCGCGTAGAAAACGATTAACATACTCTTGAGCGAAATATTCACGTTTATTGATACCGAACGATTTGCTTGAACGAAAATTAAAGGAATAAAGAGGCAATTTGAGCCAAAATTGGCCAATAAAAAATGATTTATACATTTGTTAAATTACCTACATCAGATTTTACAAAGCTATATTTTCTTCTTCTATGCGACTAAATCGAAAGTTAATCGATTAAAACACTGAGAAACTCATCAATTGCAAAGTACAATGTGATGTCAAAGATGGTATTGCCTAGAATGCCAACAATTTATCGTA